CTGCGGGATGAGTTTGGTAGCAAAGTCAAAAATGCTGGACGCAAAAATCAACCGATTCTCCAGGACCAAAGTGGCAGCAGAAACGGGGTCGTACATTAAGTCGAGGTTCTTAAAGATTTCGTACTCAAAGTTGAATCCTTCAATGTACGGAATAAATATTATCAATGGAACCACAATCATCATGCCAACGTTGGCTATAGCATCGCACATTAACGTGGTAACTCATTCGAGAGCTGGATACTTGCGAAACAAGAGTTGAATGCCCGCCATCGTCCATCAGTTAGCAACTAACAGTTCCACAATCAGTGCGTTCATCCCTGCACGAGGCATCAGGGTGCTGGCTCAATGTGCCTGATAGGTCTGTGAACTCGATTCCATCACCTCACGCATGATTGAAACAGTTGAGAAGTGCTCGCTCTCGACTCCAAAACTTCCTTTACGGGAAAACAAATTGTTCCAGACGATGGCGAAGATACGTAACTTCGATTGGCCCGAGTTCCTCGGTATAAAGCGACTTGGTATCGATTTTTTCGAGATGAGAATCTGGATCATACTCGACCCTTCTGACTGAAGCGTCAGATGTCAAGCCCCGATCGACATGATGAGGATGTTTAGCACTTGAAGTGCGTATATACCCCCGACAATGACGTACACGGCGCCGTACAAACGGTAGTTCTCGTTGCCTGTGAGTGACCAAGTGGAGACGTAGAACGACATAGATCCCTTCGTGAGGTACCAATAAGTCATCGCGGCGCAGATAAGGTAGGCGCCACAAGCCACATGAAACAGAACGATGAAAACCCAAGCTATAGCGTACACGGCTGACGATTGTTCGACCGTTAGTAGGGATACTCGCGACAGACTCGCACTTTTTGGCCGGAGAACTTTCGATGCGCTCATCTCGTCTAACTTGGATAACGCCTTCACGAAGTTATTTATCCTTCAGCAAGGTATGCAATGAGGTTTCTAAATAAAAGCATGCATCGGTTAGTTGCAAATATTACCGTTATTTTTTTTTATGGCCGATACACAACGGGAAAGGACCATTTTTGGTCCGCATGGAGAAAAATTATTCATTCAAGTACGAATGGATGACATACTGAAATTGAAACACCGCCGGGGGGGGGGGGCAGACCATCGATCGATAGGGAAGAAAACACTAGGTCGTGCGATGTTTGGTGTTTGGTATCTCGTGCGTCGTGTATATGTGAATTTGTGGTAGATGCCCTTGAACGGTTAAATTTACCATCGCACAAGAGGGTCCAGCTGAGATTCTAAATGCGGATTCTTGCTCTGATGACACTAGAAAAAAAAAAAACTGCGTAGTGCTCAGGCCAGAGCATTTTCTCTTCAGCTTGATCGAATAATGGGCTTTCGAGAAACTCTCCAGCTACAGCAACAGTCCCAGTATGTTCCAAAACGACCTCTCCTACTGATCCTCACACCCACAAAATTTATGGCTATGTGGTGCATTATCGCTGTACTTCATGCTGCTTGTGGAGCCTACCTCATCTGTGCCGCACTAACGTACCGGTACCTTGCCCAGCAAAGCGTTATGTTTTACTCGTTCATTTGGTCGGATAAAGGGAACCAGAACTATCGTTTCTATGGGGTCATGTTCGGCATCGTAGGGGCCTTGCACGCGATCCGATTGCTGCTGTTGATTTTTTACTCTATCCGAGCCAGAAGCTTCATACTACGGTCAACCTCAACGACAAAGTGGGATTTCACGTCCGAGGCCGTGTCACGCATTTCCAGTCGAGTGTCTTCAAGTGTATCACCACTTATAGCTTCCGTCACAACAGCTAGACAACGTTCGTCGATTGTGTGGACGGCCAGGAAGACGTGGAGAGAAATATTTTCGCGTCATGGAATCTTAGGAATCGAGAGTAAACATTTTTCAACCGTGTTCGCAATCCGCGAACTACTAGAAACCAGTTCTCAAACATACCAAGTGTACAAGTCGAGTATACTATTACCGAGTGTTCAGCTTAATCTCTTCAACGTGGTGTTGTTGATATCGACATGCTGGTCGACTGCTGCGATTGAATATTTTCTTAAGAAGTCTGCAGCTCTTCAACGAGTTGCGCTACTGCTGTCTGACGCCGTCCTGAGCTTCGGGATGATGGCCATCGTCCCTCTTGTCGTCTTTATTCCATATGTACAAAAGTTCAACACCAGGGAGGGTGCTTTTAAAAACCCCAACTTTTTGCACGATACTGTGGCAATCTCGACAATGTCGTTGGAGAACCAGCTCATCCTTGCATCTAGTTTTATCGACTTTGTCACCAAACTGATTCCGCACCTAGGCATTCTGTTCTCCCTGATGATAGTGACCAGCCTCATAACCCGTCAAGATACCAGAAATACTATCCACACAGGAAGCATGGAGGTTGCTAAGCCCATCCGACAAGTTAAAGTCCGGCTATCAACTAGTAAGACTTGCAGTGACGCCGTTCAAGGACCATCTGTGCACTCTCAATTAGCCACGATCGACCATCGGGTACACGCACGCTGGCCCCATAAGTTCGTGCACACTATTTCTCTACTTGTCTTTTTCGTGTGGGGACTCGTCATACTTTCTCTTCACGTCGCCGCGGCAAAGCGAGCGGTCAACTACCAAGTCGCAGGATGCAGAACCATCACCCGACCGTGGTTCTCCAGTGGAAAAGAACCTTGTTCCAGCTTAATTTACGACTGTCATGCAAGGAACAAGTCCTCACCGGATGACGCATCATTAGAGAATCTCGATCCCCAAACGCTCGTCGGTCTAGCGGTTGTGCACTGCCCGGCACTGCGAATGCCTGCCACATTTCAGAACTTCACCAGTCTCATGATGATCCACATTTTCAACTCAACCATAACTAGCTGGGACGTTGATAGTTCCATCTCGGCATCAAAGCACACGCGTTTGATGGCAATTCTATTTAGAAATATACAATTGTCGGAGATTCCGGTTGGTATGCGGCAGTCAGTGCCGCCCATGTTGAAGACGATTCGAATTTCTGGATCCAATTTATCAGAGCTGCCAGATGATTTGCCTTCTCGATGGCGCGGCCTTGCGGTGCTGGCGATCGAGGACAGCAACCTTGAGAGTATTCCTCCGGGCATTTTTGCGATGAGGCTAGCTGTGCTTTCACTCAAGGGTAACCAGATCAAGGTTATCTCTCCAGAGGCGAGGGTGCCTTCTAATGCGGCCATCTTGCAGGTGCGACTGAGTCAAAATCCAATCCAAGAGCTGCCCGAGTCGTTGATGGCACCAAACTCCCTAATCCCGTCGCTTAATGTGCAAAACACGAGCCTCCAGAGCTTCCCGTCGTGGGTGGAAACGCAGACAAAAGTCGTGTGGGCCTACGGCACCCCTTTCTGCAAGTCATTGTCAACTACAGCATCGACTAGTACGGTCAAGTGCTTCAATCCGGGGACAAGCACTCGCGAACCCAACTTTCCAGTTGAGCTTTTCGAGAAGCTCTACGCTATACATTGAGAAACAGCTTCATGTATTTTGAGAGTGATAGTCCTAGCCAACCAAGTGTTACAACGATTGACGTCGTTTTGCTCGCTTCATGCCTAAATGTTAGAGCTGACATTATCTACGGAGACGCTCCCGTTTCGACAGCGTCTGGAGTGACTTCGTCGTCCAGAACCACCTCATTTTCAGGAAACTTGTGCAGCTCTTGCGGCGTAAGTGGTTGTTCGCACATCGGGCAAGTTGCGTCTGTGCCGAGATGTTCCACGAACTGTGAGTACAGACCTGGAAAGGTGCATCGCGGACATTGAGTCCAGTCATCCTTGACCATGTGAAAGCCCTACAACAGCAAACATCATATTCGTCAGACATGTCCACATCATGAGTACATTTTTTTCTGTACGCACCGTTACAATACAGTATGGAATGGAATTCTTGCAGGTGGGGCAGTCCAGTTCAGCTTCAGCGAGTTCGTGAGAGCAGTAAGGACACGGTGTTCGAGTATCAGGCGGTTGCTCCTTATTGGGACGACGTACGATCGCCTCGATCTTGCGTCGGATGTCCTTGTCCATCGAGCCGCGGTATTCAGGTGTGCGCATGAGCGTTGCAGCAAAGTCATAACTGTACGTACGCAAACCTGCACGTTGACACTCGATAACTGCAGAGATGAGAATATTGGCGGCGTGTGTGGGGAACTTGGACAGATGCTGCGCCACTCGAACGAGCATTCGCGCTGCCGGTCCGTGCTGCGATCGCTTGACTAGTTTTTTAACCAGCACGTAGCTGTGCAGCAATGTAAGTGCATTTTGAAGCTCTTGAGCCACACGCAGACGACGAGCACGTAGTTGACGTGAGGTTTCGACTAGGACATCGCGTGCTAGCTTGTAGTTGCCCAGTTCCTGTTCTTGTCGAGCGATGATCACTGCAGTCTTGGCTGCTTGCGTGTAGTTCCCCAGTGCCAAGTACAATCGAAAAATGTGGTGCGGGTCCTTCGGAATGCCGTCTTGTTCCCCCATAAGATGATCGATCAACGTGTGCGTCAGCATATCGTTGCGTGCTGCTCCGACAACTTCAATAGCACGGACAAGCGCAGTGTCCGCAGCGGATCCACTACCGCCAGCGCTTCCACCTGCAGCGCTGCATGCCAAGAGCAACTTAAGTGCCTTGTGGTAGTTGCCAGCAGCCTGGTAGAACTCGGCTGCACGCTCGGGCGATAACCTCTCGTAGTGTTCAGCCACTTGCGACGCTCTCTTAGCCGACATATTTTCTTGCCCCAACGTCGCAGCGAAGCAGTCCACTTCGCCATGTTGCTGTGCTAATGCGAAGGCCTCGTCTTCCTTGTTAGCTAGCAGCAAAAACTCAATAGCGTTCGGGTATCGACCTGCTTCAGCGCAGTAACGAGCCGCCGACAAAGCTCCTTCGGACGATTTAGTCTCGCGGACAATCTCGAAAGCTCGTTCAGCGCCGTCAAGATGCTCCAACTGCAGACGAACGACATTGTCCATTTCTCCTGCTCGCTCGTAGGCTTCTGCAGCGGACGCGAATTCACCTGCCGCTTCTTTTGCTCGTGCAAATTGTGCGTGCACTTTTGACGCCTTGACGCGGGCCATCAACGGTGCAGCACGTGCCAGATTTTTCATGTGGACGAACAACTGCGCCGCCTTTTCAATCTGTCCACCCTGTTCGTACAATGCTGCAGCCTCGGCGATCTGCTTCATGGATTCCAAGATGGCAGCACACTCCTTGAACACTGCAGCGTCGCCGATTTCCGTCACCAATTTCACGCCGCGACGCAGATCTCCAAGGCGAAAAGTGCACCGAGCCACACCCGCGAGACTCTGCATCTTCAGCTTCAGTGCAGCTTCTGGTTCAGGCGCTTTGATGCTTTCATCTATGCTAATGCTTTCTATGGCATTCACAGCGTGTTCGTACATTCTCAGCGCTGCGTCGAACTCGCCACGGAATTCCAGTTGCGTAGCATACGCTGCACTTAGTTCAGGTACGAGATCGCGTGCTAAGGAGTCAGCGAGCTTTAAAGCCTGTTCCCATTGCAACAGGTGACGTTGCATATGTAGAGCTGCTAGTGGATCACTGGAATTTAAGAAGAGACGACGAGCTTCGTTGTAGTCGCCGAAGAGCATACACACGTAACCAGCTAGGAGGTTCTTCTCCTCAATGTCAGCTAAGCGATCAAGACCGAGTACCATGCCAGAGTCTCCCAGTGATCGATACGCACGTCGAGCTGCAGGGATATCAAGTGTATGCATCGCACGTCCAGCAAGAGCGAGCCAGTAGTCACGTTGATCGATACGAGATGCCAATCTCCACGCTTCATCCAGACGCAGGAGACTCAGGTTCTGTCGAAAGGCAGCTTTCTCCAGTTCACCTCCTGCTGTCGAGGTAGGAGGAACTTTACGTAGCTGGTCATGAGTCACACAGGTAAGAGAAGCCAGTCGACCCCCACCCGATGCGTGCTGACAGGTTACAATGCCATCACTAACGAGAATCGGCTCCAAATCTGCTGGTACTGAAGTTGCTTGTGGTGCGATAAGCACGTCGCCGTCTGGTAACACTTCCAAGACACCGAGTTGAGTGACTTCGGGGCCACGAATGGTAGAATCTGCTAATTGAAAGACTCCCATTTCTTTCGGCTGTAGAGCTATGAAAACCTGTTGATCCACCATATCCCAGAGCACTCCAGACGTGCTGGTAGGTAGATTAGGGACGCTCATGGTCTCGCGTGTAGCGGCGTTCAGTATATACCCACGTCGCTTAGTGTCCAGGAAGAAGATCCGAGTACCAGTTTTGTTCGGTGCGAGCTGTACGATCCCCACGCCGTCTTCGTGACGATACGCACAGCCATCGAGAAATTGCCACGCATTGAGGTAGAAGAACTGGATGGAGCCTGTACCGTTGGTAGTTGAGTATATGAAGAAGTCTTTGGTCAGAGCTACAGCGCTGATCTCGCTGTTGCGTTCGTCGCGACCGCCACCGGAGAAAACTTTGCCGTGTTCGCCTTGCAACTCGCCGCCGTGTGTAGGCGAGTGAGAACCGCTGGGACTGCTGCCTCCCGGTTCAATCAGGTGTAAACTCGCTTTACCATCGCACAGCACAACAGCATAGTCGCGATTGAGCTTCATACTGGTGACTCGACCGAGATACTGTTGCTCGTTAACCAGTGCGTCCGATGATGAGCCATCGCAGCGATAGAACCAGACGCGGTTGTTCATTCCGACTGCTACGTGGCGAGGTCCGATGGCGACGAACGATGGCTCAACAGATAAGGCGATTCGAATGGCTCCATTACTGCTACTTCCGGTCTCGTTGCGACGGGTGTCGACTACACTGAGCTCACGTAAGGAGCTGAGGTAGGCTACGTAGTGGCCGTAGTGATCGTGGATACGAGGCATTCGAGCTAGGAAGTTTAGTACTGTACCTCCTTGTGTCGCCACGGTCAGAATTTGACCATCAGACGTGAAGTTCATCAGATGCGCTTCGTTCTCCTGCAATGAATTCACGTTAGAAGTGATAGCGTATCAGGCATATAGTAGTGAATGTTACCTCTGTATCTGAGAGTTTTATGAAGTCTGCGGCGACCTCCGTGAAGGTGGTCATATCCACAACTTTGATGCCGCTCTCTCCACTAAGAGCCACGCGGTCCAGTGTCGAAGAGTAGCAGGCAGTGAAGATCCGGTCCGAAAAGAATCGATGAGACTGAAGCTCCTCTCCGACTTCCTGTTAACAAGAATACCATCAAATTCTTAGTCCGATTACAGAAACATTTTCCTTTTCGATTTCTTACATCGATCTTGGTGGAAATGACAATAAGGTATCCTTCTGAAAAGGCGATCATGATCATACCGTCCGCGAACCACTCGATGAAAATGATACTTCCATAGTGCTACACAATAAAAATTAGCTCTCTAAAGTAGAAAAATACTGGGAAACGTACTGTCTGGAACGTGAGTTCAACTGGGTTGGCTGGATCCTGTAGGTTAAAGAGAATGATTGCCTTGGAGAGTGCAATTGCAATCAGCTGTTCGGCTGCTTTCATCGAGTCTCCTCTCTTGCGGCCAAACTTGATATCCCAAGGTGTGTGGCTCAGTTCACGTTGTTCAATGGTGTCACCTTGTGGATTGCTCACTGTGAGCATGCGGTCTTCACCTCCCAACACTAGTTTGTCATCTCCGTTCCAGGATCCGCAAAGAATGCGACGCGAGTGTTTTCCCACTACAGGGACGAGCTTCCGAGTGATTTTACTGTACAGAACGAGATTACCCTTTTGAGTCCCCACTGCTAGTAACGAGCCTTCTTTGGACCATCGAGCGAACGTCGGATCCTTGAGATTCGTGTCCAGACTCAACGTGGAGCGTGTCCCGTTGTCCCATAGGGGAACGACACTGCTCCCTTGCTGTAGAATAGCTAGAGTACTGCCCTCCGTGTCCCATTCAAGGGCAACGACGGGAGCGGTCAAGTCTAGTCCGATCTCATCGTGCTGTTCGCCCTGTCGGTCAAAGATGTGGACTAAACCATTTTTGCCCGCGGTTGCTAGGAACGTCCCATTTGGATGCCACGCAAAGACGACGGGCCCTACGCCGTGGAACTTGGACGCTAACTTGAAGAGCTTCTTCATCGCTCAGCGACGAATTTACGACTGAGGAGCAACTAACGACAGCGTCTCTTCAAGATCGAGATCTTCGGTTTGGTAGTTCTATTATACTACTGTAAATTAAACACATCACATTGTACAATGACTGTAGACTTCAGCTCTCCCGCTATTTCAAGATCTGTAAACTTAGACAAGTCAAATTAAATCTCTGTAAGCTTATGCAAGCTCAAATCGGAATTAGTTGCAGTCACAATTGAGCTTGCATAAGTTTATAAAATATTTAATTCAATTTGTCTAACTTTTACATAGATTTAATTTAACTTGTCTAAGGCCCCTTATTTCTCCGTCGGGGTCGGGGTTTGGGAATTTACGAATTCAAATGTGATTGGCCTTTCATTTATTCCCAGTTGACGCTTTTGATCCCGCCCCCAAAGGAGTGGAAATTTTGTACGGATAATATTCCGAGATAGGCAACTAGAAGTACAGGCAGAAATAACCATGGCTACACGAGATTACGACGAAGACACTGTGCTAGTCGTGCTCCTGGAGGCTGTAAGTGCGGCTACGATTGCGGCGACATCGTCGCGTTTGCGAGCAGATAATGAAAACCAGCGTAGAGTGACTCAGCTAAATTAATGGCGTCTTCTCGCTTTGACGCATGGTTTCGCGATAATTTACGATGTTCTCAAGTGCAATTTTAGTCGAATTTGTGAAATCTTTCGGTCTTACGCTACCCCAAGTTTACTCTACGGGCGAGACCACACGTTGGAAAAGAAAATGGGTTTGTTGCTGCTTTACTTGGCGTCGCCTGGAAGTATGAAGGACGCAGGACTTGCTCTAGGAATATCTCAGTCACACACAGTCTCTACAATTAATGCATTGTTTCCAATTATTTGTGAGCGGGCTGATCATTTATTAAGCTACCGTCTACAGAGATGGAGTGGAAAGATATTATGGAAGGTTTCGCCAGCGTTCGTGGATTTCCATACGTCTGTGGAGCTGTAGATGGTTCACGTTTTTAAATAGCAAGACCTGCCGACAATGATGGATGGTTTTGCAAAGCGTTTTACCCTGCTAATAACTTGCAGGCGGTCTGTGGCCACAGTCGGCGTTTCATGGACTATGATATGCGTTCAGGATCTTATAGCGATAGAAAGACACGGACAGTGTCAAAACTGGGCAATACAATTCAATATGTAATTCCTTGTGGGTGCCATCTTCTCGGTGACGCTGGTTTCACTCTCAGTTGTAAGCTATTAACACCATATATCCCTCGAGAAGATGGTGGCCAGCTTTCTCGAAAGCAAGAACGCTATAATTATTTTCGCAGTGCCACTAGAATGGCAATTGGGTGTGCTTTCGAAATGCTAAAGCAGCGATTTCGTCTCATCAGACGGCAGTTTGAGCAGAAAACTGTTGTTAACAGCACAAGATACATTTTAGCAGCTATGATTTTGCATAATGATCACATCGATCTTATTGACGACACTATAAATGCAACGAGCAAGATACACCAAGCGGAAATATTGTGGAAATTGTGTCGAATTCCGACAGGCGTGGTATATGCACGGCAAAACGTGATAAGCTAGCTAATCTTTTTACTCTCTAATCAAATATACGTTTTTGCTCTATTGTTTCTATCTCAAAGTGCGTATGAGCTTGTTGATAGCAGCAGTCTGCTGTTTGAGAGCTTCATCTTGGTGGGTAAGTGAGGCTACTACCTCACGAGAAGGGAGAATGTCTGCTCCGGCACTAGCCTTTTCCTTCATGGCGTCACCTACTGATTTGATTCCGTCTGCCAACGCACGTAGCCCTATCACTTAAAGAAACAACATTTAAACATACATTAAACAAAAAAATTGGAGCAGTTCAACATACCTTCTTCGGCACACTCTCCGTTTGTCTTTTTGCGCTTGGAACGTGATGTGTCTGCACAATCGTCATCCACCGATAAATTACCGTCTTTGTTTTGATCGGTAGTGCTGCCACAAGCGACGTGTTCTGCATGCCACCCAGTGTTCAATCACCAAATCCAGGCAGGGTGGCGAAGCAACCTTCGGCACGTTGCCGGTAGCGTTGTGGTCATTACGATAAAGGATCACTTCTTTTTGAGCCACTTAATCTTCATAAATATGCAGCACAAAACATTAACAAAAAAAGTATTAAAGAGGTGTCAGTACAATTTTTTAGTTTTAAAAAAATAAATTACCTTATCCTTGCACTGGGTGACGGTGTAAATGTTCTCCTCAGCCTTACTAAGCAAATTGGCTACGAGCACCCATGCAGCTCCAACTTCAACGTGCGTACGAATTCTTCTTTCGCTGTTACGTATCTAATAGTCCTACAATACAGCAAAAAGTTTAGCAACTTAACGCACGGAGTTTAGCTAATTAGAGTCCTTACCTCACAGTGAACAATGTCTCCACCGCTCCTTTCGTCTATAGCTCTGGCTCTCCTCTCGACGGTCGCCCACGCTTAGACTTGGCCTTGGCTGCAAGTGTCCCCGCTACATTTGACTGGGTTGGCATCTCATATGACGTGTCAACAACAGTTTGGGAGCTGGAACTCCCGCGAAGACCAACTTGTATTGTTGATCAGATTGCAAAAGCGAAAGTGAGTTATCTAGTTTTACTTGCGGACGCTCTCGCCTGCCACCTTGGCAATCCAGGGATAGCCGCCCTCAGAGCCTGCTCTAGTTGCACTCAAGTGCAAGTCTAGCAGCAGCTGTGTCCTTGAATGTCCGCACGTGTCTTCTTATGATACGGCTGAACACTGTTCATGCCAACATCATGATGTTCATGATGTGCTTCACAATACACCGTCGGAACACACTCCAAGTGTGTTGGCTACGGGTTGTAGGAGCTATTAGAAGATGTGGCTCTACTTGCCACCATCACATCTCAACGCCCTCCGTGGCTTATGGAGCTTGAGCGTTTAGTCCAGGTACGAGAGGCAGTAACACCGGTCCTGCCGGCAATAATTGACGGCGATCGCATGCATTTAGCTAGGGAGGCAGAAGCTCCTTCATGATGCTAAATGGCTAAGGCCCTGGTCTAAGTAAAAATTCTGAAATTCATTCTGATAAATAGCGTGTACTGATTGGCTAAAATTGAGGTGTCACTCGGAACGAATTTCAGTTTTTTTTTACCGTTCTCAATAGCAGCCTTAGAACGCCTGGCAGAGGTGTTCCGAAGTCAGAACAAACTGCAGTCTATATCAGCACATGTTTTATGCGTCATACAGGGCATGTGGGCGACCTTTGCTGTCCTCTCCAGTAGTCGTCGTGCAGTAATGGTAGTGCTGGTAGCTGTACGATGGCGTTTTGAGGGGTCATTGATCCCCTTGGTGTAGAAGTAGAGCACGATGCGAAGGCTTCAATGGTCGTTCTTGTCAGATTGTAGAGAAGGTAGTATTAACAATGAAATCTCTGCGCATCTGCTTCGGCTTCATCTACACAGCCTCAAAAAAATTATTACTCAGAATTTGTTCTGACCAGGCCGATTCGTGTCAGTACTCACCTAGTTTGACCGCAATTCGTTCTGGATTGGCCCCGTCCCCTATTACTAAATTCAGTACAGAACTACTTAGACCAGAGCCTAAGCAGAACAAGACAAATTTTCAAATGAGACTTCAGCCAGTGATCAGAAGCCGTTGCTCAGCAATTAGATATCAAAGGGTATAGAGATCTAGAATTAAATTCCCGAAACCTGCAAGCTGGGATTAGTAGAGAGGTTTCGCAAACCAGAAATTCCTGTTCCAGTCAGATGCGGAGCAGCTCTAGTCGGAGCTGAGTGGACCAATTGTCTTATGATTTCGCAGGCTAGTCCATTCACAATTAGATGGTAACTCATCGAATCAAATATCGGAGGAAACTCGCTTGTCCACTAACCTTTCTATTTGTCGCCAATAGAGACATTGCCATGTGCTGCAGTGCGCTCAAGAGAGCTTGTGGCCTCGCCCTTAAATCGCAGACGCCGCCTCTCCCAGGCCGGTGCTTTAGTTCTGCCTCAGCATTTTACATTCCGCGTAAACGAAGACAAGAATGGTGCAAGGGCAAGCAGAAGGATGCGACGTGGCTGATGAAGCCGCTGCAGGGTCTAAGCGTTGAGGATACGCGAGCCGTCGTAGCATGATGCAGAGAGCTTCTATAGCCATAACCCGGTCCCTGTGCGCGGTGATGACCACAGCAGATACTTGGAGCAGAGTGCAGAGGCGCTGCAGCCCACCGATGTCAAAGTGGAACTCTAGCTCACAGTTAGCGTCGGTGAAGCTTGCAAGGGAGAACACTATGTTGGGGATGAGAGGACGATCTATCGCTCCGTCGTGGAGCAGCACGAGATACGGCAGCTTCTTCCTCTTGGATGGCGTCTTCTTCATCATATGCCGAAGCAAAATTTCTTCGTTGACCCGCATCACAGCCAGTAAACTATTGAATGTGAGAGGCGTTCCCAGTCCTCTGAATTCGGGATTCCTGTGACTTTCAGACGCCATTCCATTGCAGACGACCCTAACCGACGCTGGCAAGACCTCTTCTATGTATTTTGCCGTCTGAATGGGAATGGAATTGCGATGCGAAACCGCTCTAGTATCAAGGAATTACCCATATAAAATTCCTAGACGCCGACCCCAACGGAGAAATAAGGCCCTAAGTTTACAGTAATTTGTTAGTAAAATAGTAAAAAAAAAAAAAAAGGCACGATGTACTACCGAAAGTGCAATGTAGTACAGTCATGCTATTATGATTGTCCTATTACTCTAGCAGTAAGGAAGCAGTGAGAATTGTAATGTTCCTATTAACGTAAAATTCCGAATAGTATTCCGCGTTCTATTGTTATACAACAACCTCCCAGCCTAAGTGCGGTGTTATATTTGATGAGCATTCTATTAGGACCGTTGATTCACTCAAAAACAGTAGGAATTGAATCTGAACCATCAATGCCAGCAGATGTATTCAGTTGTTACAAGCTGAAGATACTTAAATCTTCTACTCGTCGATCACGATCTCGTCCAGCGTGTCAAGCACCTCATCAAAAATGCTTTAGTGTCGTCCTCGATGTCGGAATCAGAGCTCACAATGTGAGTCACATCGCTGCGGGCGCTCCAAGCAGCATTGAACTGCGACCCGTACACATCGTGCTTACTGATAAACCAGTCGCTCAAGTTTGCGAAAAAGAGCAGCTGGGAGTCGTTGTCGTCTTGAAGGTGGAGGGCGACGTCCTGTGTAGGGTGAACTGGAGGACACTCTCGTCGACATGATCTACGACCTGCGGATCAGGAAGGAGAAGATGACCCGTGAATAGATTGCAGCTCAAGGCCGGGATCTTTTCCACGACAGTAGGACGGAAGAGGAAGCTGGGGAGCACCCGATTCGCTTTACGGTATTCGATCCGTGGGTGGCCTCGTTCATGTAGCGCAATGGGTTCAACCTGCGTCGTCGCACCAATTTTACTACGCTCACCGACGAAGAGCTGGTACGTCGCGCTGTGTCTTTCATGGGCTTCCTGGAGACACTGAAATGAATCTCGATTGCGCGGTGCTAATGGACAAAACGGCTATCTACTTCGAAGACCCGAGGGATCGCACTATAGACGTTGTTGGACGCCGCCATGTCGCCATACACTCAACGGGTTTTGCTTCAATGCAAATTACAGCTGCTCTGGCGGTGACGGCGTCCGAGAAGAAGTTGCCACTCTGCCTCATCCGGAAGCGAAAGACTCGTGGCCCGATTGAGCGTCTTGTAGGGCGCTACGTGTCGTTTCAGCCCAGGGCCTGGGTCGATCAAGAGCTTCTGTTGCAGTGGTTGGAGTGGTGTTTCCCGCAGGTGACGCAAGCCACGGGACAGTGGGTGGTATGGGACTCTATGAGAGCTTATATCGGCAAGAAGGTGAAGGCTCGATGCGAGGAAAAAGGGATCATGATGGCTGTGGTTCCTGGCGGACTAACGCCGTATCTCCAGGCTGGCGATGTGGGCATATTCAAGTCTTTCAAAGACAAGATGTCCGTGCACATCGATGAGTGGAAGCGCTCAGACTAGGTAAGCTACACTCGTGGTGGAAATCCTCGCCCTCCGTCGATAGAAGTGGTCGTGTCATGGGTGACCACAGCTTGGCGTCAGGTTCCGGATAGTGTCGTGCAGCAGAGTGTGGGCAAGGATCACGCTTGCGCCACCACTCTCGAAAGCATGCTGCCGAGATACGCCATCCACGCTGCCGGAAGTGCGCTTCAGCCTGAGATGGAGCACCACCTCCCTCCGTGGCGATCCAATCCAATGCTTGCTTCTTGATACTGAGTTCAACGCTCTTTCTTCTCGCTGGCATCTTGGAGAATGAGCCACGATTCACGAGCTCTGGAGTCTGGAGCTCTGGAGTCCGGTCGAGGTTTGAGTGGAGGAGCATTGTCCAGCTTGACGCAAGCGCGAAAATCTACAAGGAAACAAGTGTTCTGCTGCTTTCCTGCGCAAACAGCAACGCCAGAATCAGCTTTTGGTGAGCGACGGTGGTCCGTTCAAGCGCGTTTTATTCGATGGTGTTGTATTTTCATTAGAACACCCTGCGCGAGGGCGTTCAAGTCACACAGCGTTGTATTACTTTACCGCGTTCTATTCGGTATTATACGTTAATAATTCAGATATCAAGAGATATTACTACCATCAGTAGTGGAAAAACCGAGTTACTCATTTAATCCCTGGTTGCAGTGGCTACTTCTAGGAGTTTACAGTCGATGATGATCTCGGGGCTTAGAGAAGCTCCGTGACGAGCGAGTTCAGTATCGACAAAGTCTCCCGGTGAAAAAGATCCAGGCCAGAAATTGTTGGCCTCACTGGAACTTGAAATGATTCCGAGAGATTTATATGCCTCTGCGATCTGTCGAGTGAAATTTGTCAGTTGCATAGCAATGATAAAGTGTTGGTGTAGTACGAACCAATTCGGAGCAGAAGTAGGTGCTGTTTTGCGATCGTTGTTCCACTTGTCCAGTGTAAAGAATCTTGCGGAAGCTCAAACCGTAACAGAGGCCTTCGACCTAGACACAAGAAAATGGTGTGAGTAGTAAAAGAGACGCTGGTTTTGCAGCGGTGATAGGTTGTTGCGAACCTCAGCAGTAAATCGTTCGAGTAAATCGTTTACAACAGCACGGGATAGTAGAGGTGTTCGAAGTTTGCGCAGCACGAAGTACCGAACGTGGAAGGCTGAATATGCCAACAACCGGGCCGTCTACAAAGAGGATGAAGTTAGGTTCAGTCCTCCTGTGTCCTCGATGCGGTTGAAGACCAGGAAAATGTACCAGGGGCGTAAGTGTAACACCGTCGCCTGTTGCTTCTAGCAGCTGAAGATATTCCCCTTCACTTGGTGGAACGACAATGGCGACGTGATCCCATTCAGACCTCGTGATCTACATCAATAATCACTCAGATAATTATAACAATTACGTGTTGTCCAAGAATCATCGTGTTGCACACTCACTGATCGCTGAAGAACGCTCACTTTTGCTCTGCCATTGAAAAGAATCAAGTCTCCTGGACGAGTGTAGAATTCTAGTACTTGAAGGTGCAGTATTTGACTTCTATAGCTTCGCAACGCCACGTGATCGAAGTACGTTGTCGACAGTACTGCAGAATGGTCAGAAGTCTGAGCAAAATTTTTAGCGAACAAATCAAGCCAAGTGAGGCGTACCTCCTAGAAACACACAAGTAGAGGAACCGAGTCTTGTAATGCGCCAACCATAAACATTCCCTTGAGGTAGTTTTCGAGCATTAATCGTCGCTGGAAAAGAAAGCTCGGCTCTGTTGCGGATAACCTGAACATAAAGAAGGTGAGTGTCAGGTCTGGTAGCTACGTATCGCTTTTGACTTACCATGCTGTAGGAGGAAGTCGAGGTAGCATCGATTCTTCTACCAATATCTTTAAGCGAGTGTGTAGCTCAACAAACTCGCTGAACCTTCGAGCGATTCTCCATCTCAGGTTTCCAAACGATAACTTCATCTTAAATACCTGCTCAGGTTAGTAAGGAGTAAAAAAAACAGTTTTAGTATTTCAACTGTACAGCTCCCCAGTATGCACGTACAGCGTATGGATATTCAACGATAAGTCGCTGTACTTCGTGTTTGTAGACTTGAACGCAGAAGGTTGTAGCTATTCTTTTACCAGCTTCATCAACGCGAAGACGATAACATGGTAGAGCTTGGGCGGGAATCCGAGGCTGTCGGCGATTAAATGAATAAGACCCATTGCAACCATTACACATCCTATTGACGCTTACCAAAGTGGAGGCGATGAACTGCAGCACACTCTGACGTTCCATTTCTGGTAAAATAACATGCTGCTTTCGCCACCCGCAAGTGCACTCACCACCAACTCCGCAGCGCGAACACAGGAATAGTGTTAACGAGAGAGCAGAGTCTCCTTCCACATATTGTTTCGACGTGTCAAAGATCACCTGCACTCGCATTGAGCTAGTTATGTGCATGTCAATAGGAGGGCATGAGATCGCAGCTGCAACCACAATAGTCATCTTTGACGTAAAAGACCCAGGCCGAAGGAATTCGCTTCTCCTACGGCGATATTCCAGTAATAAACGCTTGAGCAAAACCAGCGGGAGATGATGCAAAGGTTGTCCTGAGTGTCCTGCAGCCCAAGAAAATAGTATCACTTGGTCCGACAGAAGTGGGTTGTGACTATCTGCGAGGTCACTTGAAAATGATGTTGTTGGGGCGAAATCGACCTTGAACACAGGATAGAGTTCCTGAACGCACTGGTTTTAGTTACAACAAGGTGGGAATAGTAGAGTTCGAATAGGTATCCAAACCTCGTCCTTGGAGCTACGCTTGGGTAGTACACGCTCTGTAGCAAGAGAGCTCCAGCCCACACAAGAGCACGGAGCTAATGCGCCAGCTCCCATATCTTTAGCCAGTTTCTAACTTCAGACAAAACGTCACTACTATAGTGGAAGTCGATAAGTAAGAAACGTCAACTATCAACAGCAGTGTCGTATTCATGAGTGGGTCATCGTACCGTATCTGATCTTTTGCTTTAGATTTTCCATCGAGTTTTCTTGTAAAGATTTTACCTACCGCCACGACGCTCGAGCTGTTTTGGGTCGGCCGTACCCAGTGGCATTGGAAGCTGACGTCCGTCGCGTACCACGGGTTGAAGAGCCACTGGAGACGTTGGGATCCATACTGATGCCATTTGTAAAGTCCAAGGACGAGTGCATGCGGTACGATGGCTTTGGGTCGATAGTGATTCGACTAAAACCGCCCAGCTCGACCTTCTTGCTTTGCAATAAATCCTTCGTCTCGACGTCAGTGCGAATACGCGGCGGTGCCGTTCGAGGACGTGTCGGTGTCGGATCGGTCATTGAGAGTCGAGTTGATCCTGTCAAAATGTGACCATTGCGGCTACGCGTTGTCGATGAGGGCGGAGGGAAGTCAGCGCTGAAGAATACACGGCCTCTGGGTGTTGTTGTTGACGCAGCTCGGGAGTTCGAGGCTGTGGTTGTCTTTGTCGTCTTCTTGACTACTCCTTTCGATGCAGTATTCGACGTCTTAGTATCGTAAGTGCGTCCATTTGTTGGCAGTGACGCACGCTTGGTTGAAGTCGCCGATGATCGCTTTGAAGTACTGGGGCCAGTACTCGATAAACGCCGAGGACGAGAGTTGGTAGATGATACAGTTCCACGAAGATATCGAGGGTTGGACACTTCTGGCATGAAGTCGAGCTCTTCGCTGGCTGTTGATGGAGATGAAGACGCCGTGTCGTCTAACACCTCGGTCCTCTTTGGCGCCGAAAAAGAGTGGAGCCGCTTGATGCTGTGCACCATCGGAGTTTCTGACACTCCCAAGTCAAACTCCGGTTCGTCCATATATCTGCTCGATGGCAGTGCGTCGAGCTTGGAACTTAGGCCTGTAGTGGACAGGTCGGCAAAAGCCACTCGAGCGGAACGAAGAATCTCTTCTGGTACCATTTCCTACGTAAATGAAGAATAATTAGGACAATCCATCAGTTTTAGCGTATCTGAAGTTAATATTACCTTGACCTTCGCTTGATTTGCAAGTGCTGGCGAAGGGTCAAGCAAGTCTACCCACCCATTTGCCTGCATTCAACGTCCATATAATCTTAGTAAGAACCATGTCATCTGTCCACACAATACACTACTCACCGCAGTCATCTTGTTGTACGAACTGTTGGGAGGTCGCTCCGGTCGAATGAGCAATGACGGGTGTAGTTTCCTCTGAAATATACGAGAATGCCACGTTAAATCGGTGGAATAGACAAGATCATCAACATGACTACGTACCATTTCAGGGGTTTGGTCAATCCAAGTCAACCGCCGCTCACGATACCGCTTACTCGTATCTCGTCGCCGCTCTGGTACTGCACTTGCATCAGGCTTAGCTGAAGTATTCAGGAATGTGTGAATGAGCACCACCTCGTCGGTCTTTGAGTCTGCCGCATGTGTGCTCCACTCGTACATCTGCCGTTCGGTTGCCTGTTTTGGACGATCTTCTTGAACCTGTGCTTCTAACGAGCAAAGCTGGTCGATGTACGACTCGTGCAGCTTCATGTCTGCGCGCTTGGTCATCACAAACTCGTGGGCTTTATCTAGTCCCCAGCAGTATTTCACCATCAGGTACCCGATCATGATACTTGGACTGCGGTTGATACCGTTCAACGAGTGCACCAACACACTCTCGGTCCGCTCGAGCGCTCGATCGATCAGCTGGATAATGTGTGTGAACTCGCGGTTCTTGAGGTCGAAGAAAGGTCGACGCAGTACGTCCTCCAAGTCGCACGCCGTGTAGGTCAGACCTAGACTCTGTTGGAAAATGTTGGGCACCTGGCGAGGCACACAGTTGACAATGTGCATGATCCCGTTCAGCTGCAGGAAATCTGCATCCTGGGCTGCGTCCATGTCCCCCATGAAAAGTCCATCCTTGATCTTGGACGACATTGCCAGCGCACACCCTACCTTCGGCCGCTCTTCGCCCTCTGTGCTCACAAAAGAGTGGAAGAGTGACACAGACAGAGTTCTGAGCACCCCCAAAATACATCATCGTTCAGGCAGGGCACAAAGGCTAGGGAATCGGAAGTCACAACGTGGTATTAATAGGAGACCAGAGCCTTCAAACCCACCGAGTCCTTCAAATATAGGATCGCAGGAGCGCTTGATCCGCTTCGGTGACGTTTTTGTCGATTCGAAACTGGACTTTCACCACCTCTGCGAATCCTTCCTTTACCTAATAGATAAGAGAGCGTCATTACATCACACACATCATTGCGATTGGGTGTGCATGTATCACTTACTGTTGGTGCCACGAAATTCTTGAAAAATCCGTGAATGGCGACGTCGGGGATTTTCTTCTGCTCTGTGAGCAACCTGAACGTGTTGAGGTGCATAGAAAGAGGCTTGTCGACATCCATTACGAAACACCTAATAGGTAGGTTCTGCCAGAGCAGAGGGAGTAAAGTTAGTAAGATATTAAAAGAGTTTTGTATGCTGTTCATCATACCTTTTCCTTTGCGATCGCAATCCATTCTTTCCTGGACCGTGGGTCACGATTGGTGTTGTCGATAACCACACTGTTCTTCTTCTCAATGGCTTCAAGACATTTCTTCTTGCAGTTAGCAGCGGTGCGCTGTTCATCCTGGCTCACAACGACGTAGGAGCTTAGATAAGTCTTCGAGAAGAACGACTTCCCGGACGCAGGAGGCCCGACGAGAACAACCATTTCTTGTTCAGATTTCGCAGCTTGTGCTGAAGATGGGCTAAGCAAGGGCTCTTCAAAGACATAGTTAGATGGACATCGTGTGCTAGCGTACAAAATTTAAGACAATACCTCACCGGTAGAATCGTTGAAAACGATTGATTTTGGGTCAAAGCCGGGTTCCCACGTGTCAGGGCGTGTATGAATCCGCTGTTTTGTGCCTAGAAACAAATCCTCGGGTGTGAAGAAGAGAATCCCGGCATTCAGTGCGAACTTGTAGTCCGTCGCAGCGAAGTCTTTTGCACGTCCAGTTATCTTCGGGCGCCCTGCAGCGTCTCCACAATAGAAACTCGCTTTTTTGTCGATAGGTTCTTCTCCTTTGTCACTCAGCATCTTAGTCATTTCCTTCCAAGCGCCTAGACGAGGTTTACGCATAATATCGTTCTCGGTTCCTAGAAACACCAACATCGGCAGCTTCAACTGCTTCACGATCGTCTCCAGTTTACTCTACAAAACAGTAAACAGCTCAAAATCAGTCTTCATCAAAAAGAACCACTGCAGACCAAACTCTAAGATCTTGTACCTGCACTTGTGCAGCAGTAATATGTCCTTTGGCGATCCCGTTCTGGTTTGAGAAAATGGTCAATGTGAAGCCATCACGCGCTAACTGAGCCAGTTTATCTCTCACGAGCGTCGGATGGAACAATTTCCAGTCATCTTTGTCCTTGGCAAATTTCTTGCCGCTCTTGGTGACGATCAGTGTCCCGTCCAGATCAAAACCCGCGATCTTGAACTTATCTACGGGGTTTTCTTGCTGCTGCTTGGCTCGAGCATCCAGCACGTACAGCGAGCCTTGCACTGTCGTCCATGGCGTAAAGTTTGGCTCTGGCAGTTCTGTATCAGTCGCTACAGTTCGCGTTTGAGCAGTGAAGAAGGCTGAACTTGAATTTGAGACTTTTTTCTTCTTGGCTGGGGGTGAATCTGTACTTGCGGGCTCCAGGAGGCGGTAGGACGTCGTCGAGAGCCGTCGGTTCTTTTGTACGCTGTCCGTGACCCATTGGGAGCGCAGGATCTCGGCCTTGGGGAAGCGTGCAGCCAATTGTTTGAGCATTTCGTCCTCGACCTGGCCAGTCAGCAGCACCACATTGACGCGGTCGCTCCTCTGCTCGCCGTCACCAACCACGACGCCTCCGTGCGCCGCCACGAGCTTGGATTCCTTGTGAGCGACCCCATCGTCACCATGATCCGTCGGCTGGCCTGAAAGAATCACCACATCCTGCGCGAACAGCTGGCGCTTCAGGAACGCGTCCATATTGATGGCTAATGGAGACGTTGTCAGATTCTTTAACTTAAAAAAATGTAAAAAAAAAAAGTGAGCCACAGATAATTTGTATTGGACTAAAAAAGGAGCGAGCAGTTTGAATAGTTTGCCTGCATTTGTTTATCTCCAGATCGATGAAAGACAATACCGATGTTCACGAGATGGAGACCGCCGAGCAAGAGGAGTTTACGTACATGCAGCTAAAAGCAGCCTTGACTTCAACATGTACCTATTTCGGACTATTTTAGACCCCAATGCTGGTGTATGCTACATAACGTGGTGACAAACCAGCTGCCGAATAAGGCAAAGGAGAGGCTACAGCGAGATGACGGCATTCGTATGGAATGGTCGGACCAGGAGGTTGCTCTGTGGTGTCCGATACGTTGACTGCAAGCCCGTGACTAAAAGGCTCCACTGGCCGGTGTTTCAGCGCCCCCCAGTCACACCATTGCCACCTGGCACCATCCAGTGATTGACCCACAACATATTGCACGGTAACCCCACTACTCCCAGACGTTGTGCGCCAGTATTGTAGCACGTGGCGTTAGCCTCGTCGACAGAGAGCGGGGCTGAAGCAGCTCAAGGCAAATTGAGTCGCCGTTTGAGTCTGTTCCCTGCGCATCTTCTCGAAGCTCTCGGTCCGCCTGTCTTTCCTCCTCTTGTCGAGCACCCGTGAACCGTACAGCCTGTACATACAGCTCAGCTTTGCCATCGTCACTCGAAGCTAAAAGTCCGCGAGTCTCGGGGGGAAAGCGGTCTGTCAATTGTTCACACAGTCAGTTCGCTCGCTAGTCGGCGGGCCGCAAGCGGAAGCAGCGAACGGACGGACGTGGTGACGGACGGACGAAAGGAGGGCGGAGAGCAGGAGACAGAGGCCCGACCGACAAGCAGACAATTCCGTAGCTGCCAAAGGGGCCGGACTATCCTATCGAGTGCCTTGCACAACGCATGCCACAACCGCAGGCGCCGCCGCGAGCCGCTGCAGCTCCACGCGGCAACAGTGCCATGGCCCAATTCAAACCCAAACGCTGGCAGGTCGAGGACCGATGCGGCCTCTGCAACGTCGAGTTCTCGCTGATGAACACACGACACCACTGCCGCCACTGTGGACTCTCCGTGTGTGGCAAACACTCCAGGAACAAGGTGATCGTGCCCACCTCGCTGTCTAAAGTGCCGCAGCGAGTGTGTGACAAGTGCTACCCAAAGTGCCGCAGTATTGCACGGGGCCTCGCACCTCCGCCTCGCCGTGACTTGCCCGATGACAAGCCACGACGTCACACACTGGAAGCGAGGGATGAACGTGAATACGGGCAGCGGATGCGAAGCCCAGGCGGTGGACCGAGGAAAACGTTGGAGGAGGCTCGAAGAGATAACAGGACGTGGAATGGAGATGACGACTATGAGGAGCCTAGACGTGTGATGCGACGGGATGCAGAGCCTCGTACTGTGCACTCAACACGCGATCGCCGGATGAGGTCTCCTCGAGCCAAGTCTCCACATGCTGCGAGGTCTCCACACGGAAGAGATCCACGAGAAGTGGTTTCCACGCGTGGTAAATCACGTGACCGACCTTCTCGTGATGGAGATCTGCGCCCTAGGGACCTATTTCCTGATCCACGGGACAAGGAACGGCGTAGCAGAGACCCACGGGAACGAGATCCACTTGAGATGGAGAGACGGATGCGAGACCCAAGAGAAAGAGACCCTCGTGAGAGAGATCGACGTATCAGGGACCCCCGTGAGAGAGATCCCCGTAGAGATCCCCGTGAAAGGGAACGACGTGAGAGGGATCCTCGTGAGAGAGAGCGACGTGACAGAGCTCTACATGAACGAGACTTGTTTGATGGCGCTCCGCGTATGAGGACTCGTGACTCGCCACAGAAAGAGCGACATCGGATGCCAACCACGGAGCCAACTAGGAACCGAAAGCATGAGCAGATGCGCAGCCCCGTGCCCAGTCTCGTCAAACAGCGGTCGAGTGGCAAGACTCGGGCAGACACGTCGTCTACGTGCCGCACCACGTCGTCAACGCTGAGTAATCTGTACGCTGCTTTGAATGCCAACGAGGAAATCAAGCCCCAAGCACAGCTACCAAAACCCAAACCGAAGCGACGTAAGGAGCAGGAGAAGAAGGAGAAGCCGAGTGCACTTGCCGATTCAACATTCTCCATTTTCAGCTTGGCAGGATCCGACCACGAAGACCCGGCAGCCAAAGCACGCAACAATGCAGCGAACAAGAAGAAAGAGATGCGTCGGCCAGGTGCCAACATCACAAACCGTGAATCAATGGAGAAGAAGGAGCATCTGGACTTTAGCGCGTCCTCCAGCAGCGTCAAGAGCTTTGAGGTGTCGGCCATCACGCAGAAGTATCTAAACCCGAAACCAGCCAAAGCGGCGATGCAGAAGACGAGTCTAAAGCCGATGATTGAGGAGGACAGCGAAGAAGAATCGACTAGAGGAGTGAGCAGACGGAAAGCAGCCCCGCAAGGGTATCCCAGTGAGCGCAGACGTAATGAGCCTTTGAGTCAGCGCAGACACGACAATAGGGTCCGTGGTGAAACGCACAGCGCTCGTAAGAGGCTACCACCGTTCCAGCGTGGCAGGCCTGATGCTAGTTTCCGAGACAGTGACGAAATATTACGAGAGCGCAAGGGAAGCGATGATACTCGAAAGTTGTCGTCTCAAAATAGTGGAGCCAAGTCATCGCGTACGTCGTCTATCTCGGACGGATTCAAGGAGACGCGTGCTTTATTGGGTAGCGACAGTTCGTACAGCAGCGTCGACGACTACTTCAGTAACGACGAGGACGAGGCTCTCGCGAAGCTTCTTGCTGCATCCAACCGCGGGAAAAAGGACCTGACTGCGAAGCTTCGAGCCAAGAAGGAGGCGATTGCTGGAATCGACGCTGCCAGTCTTGAGGCAAATAAAAAGGCTCGAACAACTGCCAACTACAAGTTGACTAAGAGAGATCAAGAGATGATGCGTCAGATCTCGGAGTTGGAAGCCATTGTACTTCAGCACCAGAAGGAGCTGCCGGATTTACTGGACATGTACAGCGAGGCTATCAAGAGATCACAAAAGGCACAGAGAGAGCTGCAGAAGGCCAAGGTGCGCGTGGCTCGATACGAAAAGGCACACGCTGCGGTGTCACGAGCCATTCGGACTGGAAAATCGTTCATGGAGCAGAAGGAGTACATGGCTGCCATTCTGGAGCTGTCACGTGCTACAGGGATCGAGCGCTCGAACGCGACGCTGTGGTATTTGCTGGCGGAGTGCCGATTGATGGTCAGTCAACCTGCAGCTGCAGAGGAGGCATGCATGACGAGTTTGAAGCTGCAACCGTCTGGAGCAGGTGTGGCCATGCTGGGACGCATTATGCACGAGCGTGGGCGACACGACGAGGCCATTGAGTGTTATTTATCAGCTTTGGGGCGAAACGATGAGAGCGAGGACGAAGAAGATAGTGAGTAGTAGTGAAGTAGTGTGTGCGTGTGCAACCCCCGCCACGCCGTAAACGCCCAGAGGAACAGAGCTGTTAAGGATTAAATGTTGGTGATAATTGACGTACTTGTTAAGTCAACGTTCATTTGAACGGCTACAGTACCAGTTCGTTGACAAGCGAAAGTTGAGTTGCTTATCAGACGACTCGGCAACGATGTGACGAGGGATTCGAATGGCAAGCTCGAGTTTTGGATACATGGACCTACCTAGACCACTTCTGTGCACGATGGCAATTTTTTAGGCTAAAATTTCAACAATTCTTACTTCCGGATGGGCCTTTCAACAATGCTGCAGTGATCCGTCTCTCGCTGGTATCCTTCCTCGTTCAGTGAATCGCTCGACCTGTAGACGGAAGCAGGTAGGTAAAGCTGTTGAAGACAACGACACGTTGGCGTTGCAGGCAGGCGTTCACACAACCGTCTAATGCAGCTCGTTATTAATATCCTTAAGTTTTTTTGCAACTCATCGTGAGATGGTATACCAAAAATTATGTACCTGAAATTTAGTCCTTTGCATTCGAAAGAGCAATTTCCATAATCCAGTAGTAGTGTACTGATTTTTAGGAAAATAGCCGTATTTTCAGCAGTACTGTTTTCAGTACACGTTAAGTTCGTTATATTGTAAATTGCGAAATTAACCTATTTATTGATACTGACTTGCTACGCATTTGCTGCGGCGTGTGGATAGCTTCTTCCTTTGTCTCCCCCATGTAGGATGGCACACCACACAAAGTCGATGGTCTTCAACTCAAAGTCAACTCTGAGCTTCCATGGTAGGATTTAGCAGGTTCCCAGGTTAGTTCACGAAAGCCGACCCACTGCACTAAATAGAACTCTAAATTGTGTACCCAGCGCTTCACATAGAGGTGCTCTACGTCGTACATTTCTTGCTCTCTTCCGCGTCTTGCTTGAGTTGAAGCGAATAACCCCGTACCTCTCTGGTTAGTCGCAGTACTGGCCAGGGCGTCTTCTGTCCTGGGAGGGCGGGACGGTAGATTCTAGTTTAGCTTGAGCTTGTAGAAGGAGCCGTCAGCCTTTGGATTAAATTTTCGAGTGTGGTTTTTGCGCTTGTTAGGTGGAAGCATTTTGCAAAAATGAAAGTGCTGCGAGATGCAAGAAGTCCTGATGCATATATAGGATTGCTGAGGATAAAACCAATGTTTTACTGTCAAAGGGCGGCAATGTGGCTTCACCGCAAATATACGTAGTGATTCATTGATTACGGACGTCGAGGTGGCGATTCCGCGGCTCACGGAGCGCATTGTACTACAATCTCAAGAATATCTCAAGTTGGGCCAATATTTCAGTTGTGCACTTGCAAGCGAATATTTCGGTACACTGCTAGCACGCATGCGTACTTATGGTTGCTAGTGTTTTTTAATTAGTGCGAACTTAGTACATTCGTACTGATATTGACATTCCACATTATGAATTAATTTGATAATTTAGAAAAATCAGCACACTACTACTGGATTATGGAAATCCCTCCATTCGAAACGAGGCGGGAAAGGCTACCAAAACCCGCGCCAACTCCTCCAGCATGCCGCCCGCCAACAAGGCCGGCGAGAAGAAGCGCATCCGTCCTAAGAAGACCGAGGCCGCCGCGACCAAAAAGAAGAAACAGCGCCGGCGAAAGAACTCGTGGGACTACGAGGACGACGACGGCGACGTGGAGTTCGAGGATGCCGGAGACGATGACAGCGAGTCCGAGGAAAAGGCGCCAAAGCCCAAGAAGAAACGCGCTCTGCCCCGCAAGGCACCAGTAAAGAAGGACGATAAAGTACCACCAGTACAGAAGAAGAAAAAGGTGACGAATGTGCCGCAAGATGAGGACCAGTACGACGAGCAGGACCGCGCTATGTTGGAAGAGAAGCACAGGAGCAGGAAGCAGCAGTATGAACACGACAGCGAGCAGCTGCTGCAGGAAGTGCGCGACCTGGCATGGCAGGAGAAAAAGACGCAGGAAAAGCTCATCGAGAAGCTGAAACGGGACATCACGACGCTGTCCAAGCAGGCCGAGGAGGAGCGCAAAAAGCGCAAGAAAGAGGTGGACAGACTCGTAGCCGAGAAGATGCGCGAATACGACGCGAAACAGAGAAGCAAAGAGGATGCGGATGCGGAGAAGAAGGCTCTGCGCGATCATATTAAGGAGCTCGAGTCCCAGTTCGCCTCGTTCAAGAGAAACACGGGGCCAGATGATGTGGTGACGGTCAATGCGGCGGCGGCTTCGGCTGCTACGGCCGTACAGAACAGTGAAGCCATCTTACAGCTCAACCAGGCGAACAAGGTAACGGTTGGATGAGCTGACTGCTAGGGGTTGTGGTGAACTGACGCGTTGGCTCCTTTGTTGTTGATAAAGCTACTGGAACTGTATCGCCTGGTGACCAGCACAGATATCCGTCTTATCCAGTCGGGTGATGACGACGACGAAGTGGACGACTGCACAGAAGTTGTGTGTACTACAACAGACTCGGCAACAGGCAACCAGTTCGAGTTCGAGCTGGCTGTTCCTGCCATCGCATCAAGCGAAATCGAGTATCTCCCGAGCGAGACGCCACCAACAGGCATTAAAGTGCCGTCATATTTACGAGTACGTTATGAAATGCATTAATTTAATTGGTGGGGGGGATAAACTGATGATACGGCGTTTTTGCAGGAGGAGCTGAGCTTCAGTAGGTCCGAGATGACCAAATTCATTCGATCAGTTCTCGACGTAGTCATTAGAAAGAAGAAAGTCTAGGTACTCCCATCTCGAAGCCAAGCTGCTGACTGGGTGAGTGTGCGATCGTCTTGTCCAAGTCGCCAGCTTTAATCGCCTGATTTTGCTTGATTGAAGGCCTGCATCGTTTTAAGTATTGCGATGGATAAGTGTGTGGGCGACTGGTGTTTTTCAAGGCGTCTATTAGTATGCCGTTCGCTTCTACTCTTCCATGGATGCATCCTCCGACATCGGTTCGTCCTTCACGGTACCGGACGGTGGCTCTAACTTCACGCTATCAAACGTCGGTTCATCCTTCGACTCTTCCTTCACAGTATCGGCCATGGGTTCATCCTTCACGATATTGGTATCGGACACCGGCTCACCCTTGCGTTCTTGCTTGACATCAGGCGTGTCTTTAGCTAAGGTTGACTCAGCAGGCTTCTGTGGCGATGCATCCGATGCCGAATTAGCCTTCGAAATGGCTCGGAACTGCTGGTACTCTTCCTTCGACAGCAGTGACTCCTGGATCTCCGCCACCTCCACCTTCTTCGGTTGAATGATGACAAGGTATCCGTCCGATTGGTGCTACAAGAACAACAGTGTCCAGCAAAAAAGGAAGACCCATTAGTCAAGGTCACGTAGTCAGTAGACAACTCACTCACCTTTTGCTTCAATAGCTCCGGTTCTTTTTGCAGACGTTCATTGACCTCGATCAGCGCACCGCGAATGCAACTGTAGAGATTAAATTCACGGCCACTCTTGCACTTGAGAACGCAGAGCACCGTGTTCGGCAGCATGAAGCGACCACCTTTCTTCTTCTTGCCTGTCACGCGGCTTTCCAACACGTTCTGTGTGAACTCGACACTCACCAGCTCTTCCAGCATGACCGGGTGGGACTCGGCCACGCCCACCACACACAGACGGTTGGAGTGCATGTGCACATACTGGTCCTCCATGGGCTTACCCATCGTATCGCAAGAGAACATCTCCGTGTAGTAGCGCTCAATCTGCACAGCACCAATTAGTCTCCAGTCCAACAGAATCTTCAGTAACCAACAGCTTGCCATTGTTCCTCTACGTTTGGAGGTGACAGCGCCTGCGTCTGCTGTCTGGAATTGCTCTTCGGCGCGATGAATCGCCTGCTCCCGAATGAGTCGCCTCTGGGCCGCCACCGAGTGCGTGTCGCTGTCATTTACCTCCGCTCTGCACGTACACAAGGGAAATTGTATTGTCAATACCTTGTTGAGAGTTATGAAGAGTAATGAACGGCAGTAAACGCACCGGCCATGGGCAAATTTGCAGTTTGGGAATGGGCAGCCGCCGGGCTTGTCGAAATGTTTGCACAAAGCGCTCTTGCGCAGCCGCTCGCGCCTCTCCACGCGCCGTTTCTTGGCCACAGGAGCTGGAGACGCAGGTGAAGATGATGCCTCTGTGATCGCTGCTGGGGGTGCAGACCGTGCCGCTACATCTGCTAGTTGGGTCAACGCCATACTGGTTGATTTGGATTGTGACTGTTTTGGTCCTGTGGACCAATCATTTTGGACCAGAATCAGATCAAGTTGGAATACTAAAAAAGTTGTTGTTTCTCTATTTGCTGCGTTTAGTGTTTCTACTGAAGCTACCAGCGATGGGAAGTGAAGTCATTGCTGGTGATTGATAGCAGCGTTGGCGTAAAGGCTCCAGTAAACGAGCAGTTCGCCTCAACTACGGGATCTCGCGGTATGGTGACCAGTCACGGTAGCACGAATCGAACACCTTGTCGATACACTCATCCGCCTAAGTACAGCAATACAATTACGACGTATAAGAAACAAAGAGGGTACGAACGTCCACAAATTGGAGACTTGCACGCACTCTGCCTTTGCACGCATCGTTCTGTTCGATGGACAGTTTTGCTCGTCGCCGCGTACAGAGCTATAATGGGAGACAAGTGTAAAGGTCAGCACCGCTGAGCGCATTTTGGCTTGGAAGAGCAAAATATCGACGCACCTGGTGCTGCTTGCTGACGTTGAAGTTCTTGCGGAAGAACTCGTACTTCCAATTGCAGTCGCCACTCAAGGCTGCAGCGCGGATCTACAAGATCAACAAAACCCCTTTAAAAATCCTGTCCACATGCAGCTACCGCCTCTCCATCCACATCACTGTACCTCACTGCAAGCGTGATGCTCGCACTTGTTCCAATCGATCTTGTTACGGCAGTGGTCGAAGGCGTGGATCAGCTCATGCGCCATGGTGCGATCCATCCATTCCTGGTCTGGAATGTGGTTCTGGCACAGTACTACCTGCACCGAATAGATCCACACAGTCACCACAGTATTTATCAGCTTCAATTCCTCACTCCATCACTTTCGCTACGGATGTCATCCACCCACTCCAGGTTTGCCGTCATCGTCCAGGTGGAATCCTCCGTTGATTTTTCCCTCGCACTCCACGCTAGAAAAGAAACCTGGCTCCAGACTGCAACCCATCTTCTCCATGGCGTCTACAAGGAACTTGACGCGCGAGCCTGTACAGTCCGAAAGTATCAGCACAGCGTGAATGTGTGAGCAAGGCACTCAACGGGGTGATTGAGAGGGTTCTGTCGTTACTGAAGCACTCACACTTAGTCAGTGCCTTCTCGCGCATGTCCTCGCATTCCTGGTGGCGCTGTTCCTCCTCGCTGAGGTTCTGGGTCGCGCCTTGGAAGGTCTTCTTGAGAGCCTCCATTGCGTCCTGCTAAATTGTGGGTCAAACTCTCAGTTTTTGTCAACGGAACTTATGGGCCAATCAAGTAGCTGATAGCGATACAAGACGAGTGTGATTGGTTTACATCTTTATAAGGGACCGTCTATAACCTACAGACTTTGTTCGTGAGGTTCCTATGCGTCCCCCGATTGACGTCAAGTTGCTGCTGCTACTGCTTGCTGCGCCAAAGTGTTTGAGGGCAAAAAATACTTGTATGTGGGGATTGCAATGGAGTCATTATGCACGATAAGTCCTATAGCGCAACGACACAAAGCGACACCAAACACGCTGCTATCTGTAATGGGAATTGCACTGCGAGGAGATAATCCTAGCTGCAGAAGCGAATCCGATCTCTATTCCAGTTCCACGACGGCGCCCACCGCCTTGAGCTGCTCAATGAGTGCGTCGGCATCCTCCTTCTTCACGTCCTTCTTTAATGTACTGGGGGCGCCCTCCACGAGCTCCTTGGCCTCCTTCAGGCCCAGACCGGTAATGGCACGCACCTCCTTGATAACCTTAATCTTGCTCTTGGCATCGAAGCTGGCCAGCTTCACATCGAACGCGGTCTTCTCTTCCTTGGCCTCCTCAGCAGCAGGAGCCGCGCCACCAGCAGCACCGCCGCCCATGCCCACCTGGAACGCGGACTCGGCGATACCGAACTTGGTCTGGAAAAATAGCGAAAAACATCGAGATCAGCACACAATTCAGCAATTAATACTTTTGCAGTATCGTCGACATACCTGGATAGCGTGCGAGAGTTCGGCAATCTCGACCATGTTGAGGTCGAGGATCTGGTCCAGCACAGTCTGCACCTTGGGGCTCAGAGCCATCTCCTCCTCAGCGGTGACAGGCACCTTAGCAGCCTCCTCCGAGAAAAAAGCCACCTGGGTCAGACGCATGTTGTTCGCACACGTACGGCGCGCAGCCGCGCTGCGGAGCGCCACTCGAGACACGCGCGAGAGCATTCTAAACCGTCGAGATAAGCTGGAGGACAGTCGGGAATTTGGGGCCACAAGCCGCTAATGAGGAGCTCCAAAGCGCCGCTCCTTGACCACGAACCACAATTTTATTTTCAACCACTTGCATCACCGTACAGATAATAAACGTCGGTGAATGGTAAAAATTCGTATAAGAAGTTTTGGCCAATTACAGCGAGGATATCAACGGCTACGTGTCGAGTTGGGGGATACGCAGTGCATTACGAGGAGCAAACTTGATCCCTACGAACATGGCGATGAAGCGCGTTCTGCTGCTCGCGGCGGCGATGGCGATGGCTACCGCACAGGGCGAAGTCATCAACCAGTCGGTACGCCCCACATCTCGGCATTACACTTCTCTAAATCCTATACTAACTCGACGGTATCCCGCTCTCAGGCTAAGCGCACGTTTGACCTGACCAAGCACGTGGTGCGCGAGTACACCGAGTTCCAATTCTCCGACGCTGATGCCGAGGTGACTGAATACGATGTGGCCTTCCCACGCGCACTGGAGACGCATCTGGCCTACGTGTCCGCTCGCTGCGGCAAGACTCCCTGCGAGATCGTTCCTGCCACGCAAAAGCACGCAGCCAAGGCTAAGACGCCCGAGGACGCCGCACTTTACACGGTTCTGCTTAAGAAACCCGTAGCTAAGGGAGAAACTGGCAGCGTCAAGGTCACGGCTTACTTCACGCGCGTGCTTACGCCGTACCCGGCGGAGATTACGCAAAAGGAGGACCAGCTCGTGCTCTTCGACGCCAGCCACCTCATCACCTCGCCCTATCTCACCAAGACGCAGACCACTAAGCTTAAACTTCCTTCAGGCAATGTGGAGAGCGTTCGTGCCGCCGAGCCCATCTCCAGGAAGGGCTCTGTGGTTACGCTCGGACCTTACACGGACGTTAAGGCATTCGCTGCCGGTGTTGAGTCCTCGCCTCTGAGTGTGCACTACAAAAACCACTCCCCGTTCATGACCATCACTAAACTTACGCGTGAGATTGAAGTGTCCATGTGGGGCCGTGTATCTTTCGAGGAGGTCTACGACTTGGAACACACTGGTGCCAAGCTGAAGGGAGGCTTCTCGCGCTACGACTACGTACAGCTCCACCAGCGCAGCGCCTCGTTCCACGAGATGCACGCGCACCTGCCCAAGGACTCCGTTAACGTGTACTACCGCGACCAGATCGGTAACATCTCCACTTCTCGCCTGCGTCCTGCCAGCCGTACGGGCTCGCACCAGGATCTCGAGTTCAAGCCGCGCTTCCCTCTCTTTGGAGGCTGGAAGAGTCAGTGGTACCTCGGCTACTCGGTCCCCACGTACTCGGTACTGACGCATGTTGGGGACAAGTTCAAGCTCGAGGTTGACTTCTCCACGCCCGTCCAGGGAGCCTCTGTGGACGACCTGACTGTGAAGGTTATCCTACCCGAGGGCGCCACTAACGTGCAGGTGAACGTGCCGTTCAGTCTGGACAGCTCAAGTGAGACCACGCGTCAGACGTACCTGGACACGCCCGCTATTGGTCGACCTGTGGTGATTCTGGACAAGAAGAACGTGGTGGCTTCCCACAATGTCCCCTTTGAAGTGACCTTCGACTTCCCGCAGCAGTTCATGCTGCACGAGCCACTGCTGTTGGTGTCAGCCTTCTTGGCTTTCTTCATCATTTGCATGTTCCTCTTCCGTCTGGACATCAGCATCGCTAAGAAGCCTGTGCAGAAGAAGAAGACCGAGTAAGTTGACGTGATTAAAGAGCAGACAAAACGTTGCTTAAACAAAACACTCTTTAACGGGCTAGAAACACACTTTAACCCAATGTCGTACATACGGTGTCTGTAAAGCAAGCGTTAAACACTTAAGACAGAGAGTGTTTTAGAGTTTGCAGCAGTATCATTGTTTGCTTACGGTTTACCCTAACAGGTCTGACAGAAGCATCGGTGCTACGCTACTCGACAAGTGCCATAAAGAACACTTGCCACCTAGCAAAGCTACACAAAAGCCTGGTAAGAGACTTAAGCGCGGTTCTGGCGAGCGAGAGGGCCCATCCACTTGGCCTTCTCCTCGGCGGTCTGGAAGCGACCGTGACCGAACTTCGACGAGGTATCAATGAACTTGAGGTTGATCTCCTCGAGGGCCGAACGCTTGGTGTGCACCAGGAGCGACTTGCGCAGAGTCAGAGCACGCTTCTTGGTGCCGACAATGGCGCCCTTGATCATGAGCCAGTCCTCGTTGATCACACCGTAGTGAGGGAAGCCACCCAGAGGGGTGATGTCCTTCTCCGTCAGGTCCTGCTCGGTCATGCACGACTTCTTGTCGCCAGCGACACCGATACGGTAGATCTTCTTGTTGATCTCCGTACGGTGGTGGTAGCCGTGCTGACCAGCGCGCGGCACCGTGAAGCGAACGCGCGACGGGTGCCAGGCACCGATACAGGCGACCTTACGCAGACCACGGTGAGTCTTACGGGGCAGACGGGTGACGCCCCAACGGGTGATGACACCCTCAATACCGTGACCCTTAGTGACACCGATGACGTCAATCATCTCGTCCTTGGCGAACACGGCCGTGACGGGCACCTGCTTCTCGAAGAGCGACTTGGCGAAGTCCACCTTGTCGGCAACCGAGCCACCGTTGACCTGCACCTCGAGGAGGTGGGCCTTCTTCTGGCGAAGCTTCACCTTGCGGATCTGCGTGTGGGCGAGCACGCGCACAACCTGGCAGTACTTCTTGATGCGGTTGAGCTCGTTCTCAATGTCTGCGGGAGCCGTCTGGTACTTCTTGGCGTACTTGGTGAAAGCTTTGCGCTTCGACTTGTACCAGTTCTTGTAGAAGCGACGCTTCACCTCCTCGCTCAGGTGCTCAGCGAACACCGTGGTGAGGGTGCGCAAGCCGCGCGGGGTCTCCAGGTAGCCGACGACACCGATGACAACCATGGGGGGGGTCTCCACGATCGACACGGGCTCCACGATCTCCTTCTTGTGGACCTTCGAGCCGGGGCGGTCCACCTCACGCACGATGTGCGTCATGCCGGCCTTGTAGCCCATGAAGGCAGTAAGGTGCGGCGCCTTAGACGCGTCATCGCGCGGGAACTTGCGAACGCGGCCGCGGTGGTGCTTGGTACGCTTCTTGGGTAGGAAACCCAGGTGGCCGTGACGCGGGGCCTCAAACTTACGGTGACCCATACTTGATACGAGAGTTACTGCAAAACTCAAAGTGGCGGCATGTTGTTGTTGTGTCTCAAGCGAAGCGCCGCCAGCCAATCGCTCTAATCGGACATAAGCGGGATTTTGAAAATCTAATATTTGCGAATGTAAATGATAATATTACACTTTTACCCACATACTGGTCCAAGGATGTTGTAGCCAATAGGAGTAAGAAAAAAGGAGGAACTTAAAGAATATCAGCCACTGGATAGGAAACAGCAACGCTTTGGAGTACGCGACGCACGAATGTCAATTGTATGGCTCTTTGAATGTTGGAAAAGCGAGGAGGGATCACTGTTGACACTAACCCAATACTTCCTCGGAAACATCGACATCCTGCAATCGAGTTAGTATACACCAATCTATCCGATGATGATGAAAGTACTTCTTTCAATGCCGATTCGAAAGCCGCCTTGTATTAATAGTACAGAATTTCCTCCGCAATGGAGAAGCCCAAGCTCCTTCTTACCGTTTCAATTTCTCTAAGCCCGTTATTGCAAGGCGTACCTCATACTATCCAGCTTGTGAACCACTTTTTACTTCCAGTGACGATTGATGCCGCGATCTACAATGATTTTAAGCGCGCCGTTCAGAATTACGGGTATCGTCGTAAATGGACATCGCACGCTATGGATTGCGCCGGAGCCAAAGGCAGATTATGTTAGACAGAGGTGACACTGTAAGAATATAGAAGTGATATTGCAGTTAACCTAGCTGTATTCCTGCAACTATCCTTGGCAACCACCCGAGCCTCTTGTTTACACAATCCGTATAGTCGGCGCCCGAACCGGTCTCTGGACCACATTCACGGTCCAAATCCGATACTCCTCCTCCTCGGTCTTCGCACTCTCGGTTGCATCCCTTACTTTAAGCCTATGATTTCTCGCAGCTTCGCGATTCGTGGCGCCGGAAGCGCCTTCGTGAGGAGATCCGCCATTATCTGGCGTGACTCCACGTACTCAGGTTTCACTACCCGTTTCCTGGCGTAATCGCAGATGAACTTAACACGTATATCAACGTGCTTTGCGCTAGTCATGGTCTCTTCCAACTCAAGCTGCTTAATCGCCGCCTGGTTGTCCATCTTCATGGCCACGGGCTCCGCCACGCCGAGCTTCAGCTCCAGCACCAGTTCTCTTAGGCCTAGCATCTCCCGTCCAACGTGCGAGGCTGACGTGAACTCCGCCTCCATCGTGGATAGTGCCACGCCGGTCTGCTTCTTGCACACCCGTTGTACGACGACCCTGTCCATCGTCACTACTCCTCCGGTCACGGACTTTCTGTTGCTCTTGTCCGCGGCGTCGCTCCAGCTCTCAATCACCACCTTGTCGTTAACTCCGACCGACGCTTGCATGACGAGCTTCAGGTGCTTCGTCTCCCTTAAGTACCTCGTTATTCTATTCGCCAGCTTCCAGTCGTTTGTGGTCGGCTGGTGCGTCCTACGCGTGGCCTTGTGTATCGCATAAAAAGGATGTCAGGCCTTGTGCAGCGTGCGCCCAAGAGCAAGCTTCCCACGAGCGACTGAAAACGGCTGATCGTTGGCTCTCCTGGACCGCCAGACTTTGATAGGAGCTGCGACTCCATATCACCGATCGCATTGTGTTCTCTCCGATGGGCACGCGCACTTCATTTGCATTCGCCAGTCCTGGCTGGTCGAGCAGCTCTTCGATCGTTACCTGCTGGTCTAGCGTGTACCCGTCGCTGTCAACCACCTCAACTCGCATCTCCAGGAACTTCCTCGCCTCCCCCAGGTCCTTCACAGACAACACGCTCATGGCTCGTAAGAAATCGCCCACCAGGCTCGGATTGGACGCGGTGACGAGGAGATCATCGACGTACACACCTACTGAAGTCATCATGCGTCCTTCTCGCTTGTAGGATTAGCACATGTCGGTCACGCAACATGTGAACCCGGCCTCTTCGAGCATAGTGTGCAGTCATTTGCTCCAAAGTCTCCCTGCCTGTACAACTACTTCTTCAAGCGCAACGCCAGCTTGCCTTTGGTGTTTGCATCGAGTTTGCGCAGCGTATCCTCGTCGATCTCCATCCCCGTGAAATCCCAAGGTAGATCTCGAGATGCTGCTCCGTTTCTGCCTTCACATGTGCATGGGGATGTCCCCATTTCGCTCGGGCACACCCCAATGACGTGCGAATACCAGGATCACCTTTACCGTGCCCAGTTCCATGACCGCGGCAAAGGTGAGACCGAAGTCAACACCAAAGATCTGCTCGCTTCCGCACGCCACGAGTCTGGTTTTGAACCTCTCGGTGGCGCCGTCGGCATCGGTCTTTGTTTTGAACACCCACTTAGTGTGTAGTACGTAACTGCCTGTCGGCGGTACCACCCCCAACCCAGACTTCGTTCTCTCCCAGAGCCTTGAGATCCTCCACTATCGCCACGAGCCACTGCTTCCTGAGTTTGCTTCCGATATCGTGCCTGTAGTTCCTCGGGTCCTGCTCACGAGCGCAATTAACCACGTCCGCAGCCTGGTTCCCTTGTTTCCCAGTCGTGCCCCCGTTCGCTGCTGTTTCAGCAGCCTTCCGCGCCGCCGAGCGCCTCTGGCGCTTGTCCCGCGTCCAGCGGCTCTTCTTACTACCACGGTTCGACTTTCCCTTCGATTTCTCCCTCGACGTATCATTCTCCAAAGTACCCGTGTCCTCCGAGTGCTCCGGGGCGTCGAGATGCACGCGCTTCAACTGGCGTCTCTACGTTGCGAACGTGCTACGTTATCGCGACTCTCTTATCCCTCGGGATATACATTTTATCTCATCGCTTTTCCCGACGATCATGCCCGCCTTGCTCCTTTCACTCCGTGACTAGTTCTTGGCGTCCGCATGCACCGTACAGGGCGGGCCGAAACACCACGATGTCGCCCAATTCCGGCGTGCTCTTGATAAACATCTACATCGGTGACTTTGATCCTGGGTTCGCCTTTGTCGGGCTTCTATTCAATATATACGCCGCGTACTATACGGCGTCCCCCCC